ACTGCGGTGTCTTATGGCACAATCACAAACTGCAGATTAAAACGTGTCCTAAACCATAGTCCCCGCTGCAGGTGTGACAGAGCAAGCTCTCACGTAAGCACCTGCCACAATGATAAACAAGTTACCAAAAAAAAAAAAAAAAAAAGCAGAAGGAATTTAATATACAATGCATTTTGTGTAAATATTCTTTTGGTTCCACATTCGCATTTTCTAGCCTGGTGCATTATAATTATGGAGCTGTTAGACCTGATTGCATTACCTTGGTGCATTGGGAAAAAAATGTCTTTGTAAGTGTGGGAGCTGTATTGTAAAAGCTTCCTCCTGCATGCATGACAGCCAAGCCTATTGATTTCAGGCTTATGAGTAAAGACTTTACAAACCCACTGTTTGTTTGCACCAATATATACATTTAAATTTACATAAAATTATTAGATACATTTTGGATGGATTGGGCTGCTGATTCCCTTCAATAAACCAGGAAGACCAACTAATTTTTTCTAGCCTGTGGTCCAGTAAGTTCAGTACCTTGTGTTCAAACTTCAGTAATTTTGTGGCTACTTTTACACGGGAGTTCCCAATTATGGGGACATTCATTTTTAGAAGAAAACAATATTTTGCTTAGCTTTGAATGCTGGTTACAACATAGTTTAGTTTGATGCAAAGAAAATGCAGCTTCCTCAGCATAAACTCCAGCAGGATGGTATTTATAACATGGTTTTAATATATATACGTCTGCCGAGCTGGGTTTCTGATGACCAGCCTGGCTGGCTGTGTATGCTCAAGCAAGAAAGCGAGCCTGGGTGTGAGGTCCCTTTGTAAGCCCCCAGCTGTCTCCCCGTGCACGGAGGGAACACAATCTCTGCAGACCCTCCTTATTTAACCCATTTCTCATCTTCTGGCCCTCCTAACCCACTGGCATGCATGGCTGAGTTTTTAGCTCTAGGGCTAATGCAGATTTGCTATCACTGTCTCCAGAATTTGGATACCTGAGGCACACATGGTGATTTGAGTCTTTTCTCATACTACAACCGGGTGCTGCCAAGAGAGCATCTGACAAAGCCTCAGCCTGCCAGGTGTTTTTACTCTTCCAAGGGCTTTACAAGGGTACATTTCTTGTTTATCTGCTGCTACTCTCCCCAAAACATCTCAGAGGTTGCTACAAATAATGATGTGGCACCTCGAAGAGAAGGCAGTGGGCAGCCTGGCCTGTCACCAGTGTCAGCCCTGCTTTGAGTAAGGGGGTGGACGAGTTGAAAGCTAGAGGTCCTGCCCAACCTGATTTAATTTCATTCTGTACATGCAATAGGACTGTAAGAGTTCTATCGTGTCTGAAAACTGTATACAGCAAAATACCAGCAAGCCCTTCATGATGGAAAAAATGCTGTATCTCAGATATTACAGCTAGAGGAAAAAGATACCTTAAAACTTGTTTTTGTTCTGTGATTTTTTTTTTCCCTAGGATGACAGTTAACATGTTTAGTTGGGTTTGGTTTGCTTTTACTTAGCTTTTAAGCATCATCTGGTGGCAGTCCCCATAGCTCCGTTTAGATTTGTTCCGTTTAATGGTCTGTTTGAGCTCCTCTTTGCTTTTTTATTTCTAAACGACCGCTAACTGTGGTTGGGGAGGGCATGACGCAGATCCCACCATTAATCAGAGCAACTTCACCCTAGCGCATGACATTTCCAGCTGCGATAATTGCTCCTACATGGTCACATGAAAAACTGGTTGCAGGCGTCCTTGGTGTCACAAGTTGCGATCAACCGCGCATTGAGCAAGGTAGCTCATTCTCGCACAACCATCTGATGATACTCCTTTGAAACCTTTGCCAGCGGGCTGTGCCCGGGGAATTACGCTTCAGGACTTGGCGAAAACTTTCTCCTATTAGGGTCTGTGAAAGAGGAGCGTGCTGGGGCCAGGGGGGGCTCTTTGGGTGACCTTCTGTGAGACACAGAAGAGAATGTCCAAACAGATAGCAATTTTTGATGCAGAGAACACATACCAGGGGAGGTAACAGGCCTGGAGTGTTGCAAGGCATCTGGAGGAAAAAATACCCAAAGAGCTGGCATTGCCTAGATGTTGCTTGCCCATCAATGGGCAACAAGAATGATCTCTCCATTTCTATCAGGTTTTTCCCAGCAACACTTGCTAGCTGCCAGAGCTGTGACCCTACCTTGGCTTCACATTTCCTGACCCAAGAATATTCCCCGTTGACCCTAATCAAAGCTATTTTGAGATGATAACGAATTAACAAGTCTCCCCAAGAAAAACGACCTATGGCTTATCTGGGTCACCCAACTCCCGGAAAACTGTGACCTCAGCAAACTTTCAGCAACTATTTCAAGAACATGCATTATCTTCGTTGCCTTTGTTATCTGAAAAAGGGGGCTGAATCCAGAACATATTTGTTCAGGACATAACCTATGCTGGATGTGTTTAGAAATGTCATACTTTGAATTTAGATAGCTGGTGAGCTAACAAGGTAAGAACTTAACCCTTCCCCTCTCGCTCTTCCTCTTCATCTCACCTAATCTCCTTCAGATATATATTATATCTGGTCATTAGCTATACATTAGTGGGTCATTCTCCCAGATATACCAACTATTGCTGTTACAAGCCAGTGAAGGCAACAGTGGATAAACTTACCCTGTGTATGCCCTTCAATACTTCTAATTTAGTACTTATAACCTTGTCACGTCTTAGCTAACCAGTCTATTGTTTTTTGGTTTTTGGCTTTTTTTTTTAACTAGACTGAAATGCTAACTGCATGAGGTTTAATTGCAATGGTAAGTTTGGGTAAAAATATTGGGAGGTATTTAATAGAAGAAGACTATAGGAAAACACTTTCTTTCCCTGCATAAATAAAAACAAATGTTAATGTCATTGCAGTAGGAATCATTCGGACTTTCAGTTTACAGCACTTTGACCTGAAATTTTATGAGCAAACATTCACATACCAAGTTTATATATTTTTGCTGAATCCATGAGGAATGTGATCAGATTTAGCCTACATAGCAGTCTCTGAAAAATCTGTATGGATATGTGCTGCACAGGAAAGCAGAGCAGATATGCTGGGGAGGATGTCATCTGCAACTGCGTGCCCAGTGCCCCTGGACACCCTCCACTGGGCCAAGGGCTGGGAGTAGGTTCTCCTTTAGTTCCCAGTCAGAGCTCAGGGCTCAGCTGGCCGTACCCTAAACTGAACAGGGACTGGTGAGGAACTAGGAGAGATGAGGAATGAAAGGCAAAAGACAGGAGCAGGGATGCTCAGGGGTAAGGGAGTGAGCAGGGTGGATGTAACACAGGGCGAGCTTGGGGGAGAGATGAGGAATGAAAGGCAAAAGACAGGAACAGGGATGCTCAGGGGTAAGGGAGCAGGAGCGAGCAGGGTGGATGTAACACAGGGCAAGCTTGGGGTTCAGCCCACAACACCTTCATTTCTACATTTCTCTGCTTCCAGGATGATGAGTGGGCTTCAGAACTGGCTTAATGCTTCCAGTGATCCATCCAGAAGAGATTACTACTGTTTGCTAACCTGAGTCCCATTGATAACAGAGGAGAAGACCTGACTAACCGGGTTGGTACTGACGTGATCCTGCATGATGGACTTTCATGCAGTTCTGGTTATTTTAAGACAGAGCAAATTACAGAGTGCTACTGCTCTGGGAATGAACCAGGGCTGTGCACTGAATGGAGTGATGGGTTGTGTGATGTCCACCTTATTTCTTTTAAAAACTGGAAGGTGATCATGGACAACCACAGTTTCAGAATTTGTAAACTGGCATCTGACTAGCACCAGTCTTACAGCACTGGCTTGTTTAAGCAATTATAATTTCTCACTTTGCAGTGCAAAACATAGATTGCTGCTCACTAGCCTCATAAAGAAATATACTGTGAAAGAATGAAAACACCAGATCCAATTTCTAAATGTTATTGGATGGGCCAGAATAGTTACACCACTCTTTCTTCCGTCAATTGCATTAATTTTTGGCTACTGCTTTTAAGCAGAGCTGCCAAAAAAATGTTTAGATGCTAGGGACATTTGTAAGCCCTGCAGGGCTCCCTTACCTCATTCAATCATCTTTCTCACAGACATAAAGATGCACATTTTTGCTGACTTCAGGGGCATTCATATACCCAGCAAATCATCTCTGTCTGATCCCATCTGAGCAGCTCTGTTTTTATTTAAAATAATCCTTGAATTTTCAAGAGAATATACTAACATTCAGCTAACCCTATTTTTCCTAACCCAGATTTAAAGGAAAATAAGGAATCTGACTGAGATAATATTTGGAATAGAACTCACTCTGAAAAGGAATAATTTAGGATGTTATTTACCTTATAGATTTACTTTAAAATAGATCTTCTGAAGTAGTTGGGTTTTAAACCTGTGCTTTGGAGCAGGCTGGTGTATTTTGGTATCAAAAGAGTCATGTAAATGTGATTTGTTGTTACCTGAAATAATTAAGTAAAATACCCTTTACATAGCACATCCCTGGCCAGATGAAAGTTATTGGACACGCTAATCTTAACACCCTTTAAAATAAATGTAAAAGAGTCCCTGGGACTCATGAACACTCCAGACAGTTTCTGTTAACTGCCTATATGCATTTAAGCAACAGAAACATCCTGATCTGGTCAGTTCTGTACCAAATTTGATCATGCACACATATTGGAAGTTAAAAATTTTCATTGGCCAAGTTAGAAAAATCAACATTTAAAAAAACCGGCACAAATTCTGGTAAAAAAAGCCCAGCACTTTAGAAGCCGCATAACCTTTTAGAGCATGCTTTTGGCTTATCTCAGCTTGGAAATCCAAAGACTAATGATAACAAGTGATTTTGAGTGTGTGTTGGGAGCATTACAGTATCTAAGAAATGAAGTGCATCCAGTGAAATACTACTGCAAGCAGCCACAGCAACGTGGTGTGAAGGTGGAGAGAAGTTCACTGAGAGAAGAGGGTTCTTGCCTCGGCATTACAGTGAAATATGCAGGCCCTTACCTTCGGGGAAGCAATCTTCAGGCTCCATCAGCTCCTCAGCAAACTCAGGGATCTGCTCCAGCAGTTCTGCAGGATTTGTCAAATCCACTGTGCTGCCTTCAGAAAGACTGATTTCATCAAGCTTGTTGTCAACAAGAGCAAAGACGAGGAAAACAAATTGATCAATCACCCCGAAGGAAGTAGCTGAGTTTTTATTCCACTAACCAATATCCCAGCTAAAACCACCACAACAGAGACATCGCCATGCACTTCACATGGTGCCCACTCCTCAAGTGACAGCTCTGCCTACGCTGAGGTGGGCTAACAGTTGACCCATCAACAAGAACAACAACAAAAAGTTAACATGTAAAACTTACTTTTTAAAACAAAAGAGAAGCAAACCATACAAAGATAGTGAACAGCCATTGAATATCAGTGGTAGGTAGAAGCTTGGAATGATGGAACCACTCGTGATTTTAAGGTCTGTATGTCGTGAAGGCTCATACCTTCAGATGGGGGGGACCAGAAGCAAGACCTAGCTCCTGAAATGCTGAAAGATGCATTTGATGACCCGTGTTGGGTTCCTGCCTCTGGGGCCTCATTCCTGAGGCCCCTCACCCACAGCTGGTGGGTGAAATCTCCACCTTGTCAGTCAGGACCATGTTCTGCTCCCTTTTGCCACAGCTTCTCTTCTGAGATGAGCAGAAGTCCCCTTGCCACCAGGGTCCAGTCACGTGCTGCTACAGGCACACACGTGTGAGAGGGCTCTTCCACCTGCCTCATCCCAGGCCTAACTTGTTCCCACCATGTGATGTGATCCCTCACCTTTTGGTCACACACTTCTGATCTCAAGGTGATATAGGAGGAGGGACACATGGATGTCTTTTGAAAGCCTTTCAGAGGCTCTTGCCTGAAATATTTGACACCACCATCTTAGGCACGTTGCTTAAATTCAGCATTTCTCAAATCCTCCTCTGCAAAATGGGGACAAGAATATTCCCACTCCCTGAAGCATTGGTTGTCTTATCTATTTAGAGCAGGAACTCTCAAGCAGATCTGGGTAAAAATTTCTGGGGAACATATTATTTTAAAAATATTTTTAGAGGCTGAATTTGCTATTAAAAGCAATATGATATGTGATTAAATAAGTCACCAAATATCAAATAGAAATTTAATTTCAGGTCAAAACTTTCTTTTAAGAGAATCAAACCCTTTTCTTTAGAAGAAAACAGGATTTTTGTTTCCATATTTTATTTTACTTGTCAAAATAAAGCATTTCTATTTTCTGTTAATCCAAAATTATATTTTACCTGATTATTCATCTTGGCCACTAAAATGAAAGATCTAATATTTGCCCAGCCCTGCTCACAGTTTGCTTGGGACTATATGAGAGCACTATCCAGCTTAAGTGGGCAACACCAAAGCTTGTATCTTCTATGGGTCATATAAATGCAAAATAGCTATAAGGAGTCAGGAGAGGTGGGTTATTTGTTAGCTGTCTTTTTCTGTTGTCTCAGTACCTGCTGAAATCTTTTGGTGCTTTATCTTGCAATAGTATTGTCTCCATTTAAAAAAAATGAGGACAATAATACTTACCCATGCTTTTAAACAACCTGTGAGATAGTTATATGAGAGATGGCACGTACACATAAAATATTATTTTCATGAGGATGATGGTGATGGAGTTAGTGAATTGGTACAGCTTTATATATTTATTATTAATGTGAAAATGGGCCCTCTGTTTTCCAGTATACACAGCCAATGCAAAATTTATAGCTGAATTCAGAGAAATGCTGAACCTGGGGTAACGTGGGCAAGATTGAACATTCCAGCAATGCTTGCAGGCGGGGATGGAAGCTACTTGTTTGCAATTAGCTACAGCATCCAGAAGGTCATAGTCTTGGCTAGGGTTTTTAATGCTCTACTCAAAAGGACTGCAAACAATCAAGAAGCGAGCTTTTAAAAAGAGAGTCAGAACAGAAAACACAGGTCAAACACATGGATAAAGTTTCTAAAAAATCCATATTCAGAATGCAGCTGTTGTGCAGAGCCCATTTTCTACAGACTACCAACAGTATATGTTGGTGGGAAAAATGTCATACCAAGTTTTAGCACAGTCATAACTCTCTGATACTGTTCATTAGGGAATGCATTTAGTCATTATTGGTTCTGTTATGAAGATGTCAAAACACAGATCACCAAAATAGTCCCAACTCACATACAGCTGTAGGATGTATAAAATAGGGGTTCCAAGGAGAAAAGAAGCCTTGTTGGATATAATTCTTACCAGTGGACAGAAATCAAAGAAAACTGTGAGAACAACGTCAGCTCGATAGCATTGTCAACGAGAGAGCTGGATTTAGCAGGGACAGCTCAGGAAATTCACAGGACACAATGCGGTGTAATTACAATAAACTACAAGGAAATCATCTTAAAGAATCAAGAATTCTCGAGAGTTATTTATCAGGAGGAGTTTTCAGAAAATATTAGAATCCATCAGTGTCAAAGGGCGATGGGGAACATGCAAGACAAAACAGGCAGGATTTCATCTGAAAAGCCTGCAGAGAAGAAGAGGCAGCAAACATTAGACAAAGGTTTGAGGGTCCAAACTGGGACTAGAAAAGGAAGGAACCATACGTATGAGAGAGGAGGGAAACATTAGGAAAGCTTGTAGGAAAGAAGCAAAGGTTACTCTTTGCCAGAAAAGTTAACGGGATTAAGAAGGTTTTCATGAACTCAGTAATGGAAAGAAAAGAGCTAGAGACATAATAACAACTGATGAGGCAGATGTATCTAATCAAAATTCAGTTGCCTAAGAAAATAAACTCTTTTTAAAAGGATCCAACAAGGGGATCAATAAAAAAAGGGGGGGGGGGGGGGTTGTCTGTTAGAATTAATACAAATGTAAGTAGAGAAATATCTAGAAAGCCTGAAACATATGCAAATCAGCAGATCCAGACAAGGCACATTGTAGGGCATAAAGGGATCCGAGGCACTCAGTTAACACACCATTAGTGATCAATAGTGAATGCTCATGGAAAACTGGAAACAGCCCAGGAGAGCAGCAATAAGTAAACACAATACTGAGCTTAGAGAAGAGGAAAAGGGAATAATCATGGGAATCACAGATCACTAAACGCTTGCTGTAGCCTGTGATTAAAGTAAATTAAATAAAGACTCGGAGGAGAAAGGGAGAGTGCTTTCTTGGAGTGAGATGTCACAGAGACATAAAGGCAGTGAGGTGGTTCTCCTGTAAGCTAAGGATCCTGTGCACAAACTGGGTGCAAAGAGGCCAAAAGAAGGCAAAAAGGAGAATTACAGAATCTCCTCTTTCTTTCTTGGAATAAGTGGAGGAGGTATACCAGGCAGAGACAACGGGGTCCGTCAGAAGCCCCTTTGGGAGACCTCCCACTGGTGCATAAATTCATGCTGCAGAGGGTATTTTTTAATGTGTTTCTGGGTGGAATGGCTGTTTTAACTACCCAGACAGGGCTCCCACACCCACTGCTTGTGTCTGTAATAGTGGCAAATTGATCTGGATGGATTTTTCAAAAAGCCTTTTAGCAGCGAGATGCTGAAATCTCATTGAAAGTTGATGTTTGCTCAGGGCTTAACTCTCTTATCTCTCTTCCTCTCTCCCTCACCTCTGAAGATCACAGCCTTAATCTATCAAATTGACATATGATATATAAACCCTAAGAAAATATCTGGGTGTCTATTATAGAAAAGTCTACTTTTAAAATAAATTGTAATGGGCTTGGATTCACCCGTTGCTGAGTGGAGAGAAGCCATCCTAAGGACCCAAATATAACACAAACTTTGTCTTCAGAGGAGGAGATCTGTAGGGATTAGAGTCAACATTATCTTCACTGAAGATATAGAAGAGGTACTGGCTGATGTAATCCTCATGTTAGCAGATAACGTTATATTGGAGAGGGTATTGAAACTGAGCAAGCAGAAAGGAACAGAGAGGTGAAACATGGACAGAGTATAGCAAAATAAGACTCAAAACAGTAGAAATGAGAGCTCTCAGGGAAAATTTCAATGGAAATCCTGGAAACATGTAAAATCAAGTCACCTGCAGTAATATTAAATATTAGACGTGATTTTGCGGTGAGATATAACAATGCAGAAAACCTACATGAAAGCATCATTTCTAGATAATGAGATACTCTCTTTATGGCTCTGTGGAAGTTGTATTTGGAATATTGTGCTTACTTCTTGGCAAAACAACTTCAGAAAGGAATAACTGAGGGAGTTGCAAAGAAAGAGGTAAAAAAAGTCAGATAAAGGGCACCGTGATAGTAGTTCACAAGAAATATTGAAATGCTGGGACAATGGTGTGTGACTTTAAGGGGGTGAGCCAAAGACAAAAGGAAGCAAACACCAGCCTATTAAATTAAGTGATATTAATTCATAAAAAGAGATTGATGGATAAAATTGGTAAAAGGGAGCAATGAAATGGTACTCTGAAAAGGAAAAAAAAGACAAAAAAAAATAGGGCTGGTTATTAAGGCAATATACCCAGCCATGAGATTTTTTCTAAGCAAGTGAGCTGTTCCCTTTGGTAAATGAAGAAATTCAAGTCGCCTGATACATTTAAAGATAGATTCCACAAAGCTGTACAAAATATTTTACGGGGTAGTGTTTTGGCAGAGGAATCAACCAGTTTGTTCTCTGAGGTCTTATCCACCTGTGACATCAATGATTTTATTTCTATGGTGTCTTTCTGATGATTTATATGGGATGAATTTTTAATCATACAATGTCTCCTTTACTGACATCAATAGTGTTTTATTCAGAACATATTCAGTGCTTCCTGTTATTGACTGAATCACTCAAAGCCCTGCCACTTGGGCATACCAAATCTGTTAAGTTCCTTCTTCGCAGTTGCTGGCTGTATTTGGTTAGTTGCAAGTTCTTGGGACGTTCATCAAAAAGATGATTAGCATGTCCTTGTGTGCCAGCACAAAGATTACTTCTGAATAGGAGGACTGTAAGTATGTAATGTCCACACAAGATCTGGTCTTTAAAAATAGCATCCTTTGGGCTTTGCTCTTTCATGTCGGTATTCATAGCCTCATGTGAACTTCCGTCTGATTTCAAGTCATCCCTGGATCATTGCCATATTCCTCCACCTCTTTCTAAACAGCTGCAAATAGAATCAATTATACTCTACTATTGAAAGGTGACATTTGCGTCCCAGGACCCTTTGAAAGTTGAGGGAGGAAATGGGGATTATTTCTTTATCACGATGTTGCTGAATATATCAAGGCTAGAATGTTCCTGGTTTATCATGACATTTCGTTATAGCACTAAAAAAGGACATAGTTTTCCAGTCTCCATGTTAGGATCACAGGGTTTATTTATCTCAAAAAGGCATTTAAACATGAAGGATACCTAATCTCTTGAGGGAAAAATTCCTGCAACAGTCTTCTAATTCCTCCTAATTATAATACTTTGTTTCATTATTTTAAAGTTTTGGGTTTCTTTTTTCCTGAGACATCAAATATTCAAGTCTCCTTCCTCTAAAGTTCAGGACCTTTTCTTTCTGAAGATGAAGTTCAATATGCCAAGAAGTATTCTGGCAAGGAGGATGGCTCCTGACAGAAATGCTCCATGGCTACAGGATTTCTGGTTACTGTGAGTGGAATTTATCTCACCAAAGTGTACAACTCATCTAGTTACCCTGGGCTCCCTTTATGGTCAATGGAGAGAAACGGGCACTTTTAGAAGATGATTCATCTGACCTAATTTAAATGTTGATTTCAGCCGGAGATGAGACACATTTACCTAACTACATTGGCTCCAGATCCTCATTGACTATAAAGGGACCTCGGATGACAAGTTCAGATGCAGATGTCTACATTTAGTTCAGTAAATTCCACCCCATATGACAATATGAATGAGCAGGTCTGGAGAAGAGGAGCTCTCGCTCTGTGATGGCTCTGTTTCCTGTTATCCTGTCAAGCTTTCTCCATGGGATTGCTCCTGCTGGGCACAAATTTGCCAGCAGTTTTATAGCAGAATTGGAAGAGGTGTGATGCATGTTGATCCTATGTCATCCTTTCCCTTTCATTAATTCAGTTCCCCAAACCCACCACTGGCTCCAATCTCAAGGAGCTATGGAGTTCCATAAAATAGCAGGACATCACCCAAAACCTCCAGTTCCTGATTCCAAAGAGACGAATCCATCACTCTCTAATAATAAAGGCAATGTTATGACAATAAAATGCTAAGTCTGAACTGGAAAAAAACCCAACAAGTCAGCAAGCAGGATACAGGGAATTTAAAGCCTGGAGTCATGTAATGTACAGTAAAAGACATGTATTTTTGGTATTTATGGTTATAAGGACAAAATAATCCTAAAAATTGAAAATAAATGTCAATGGGTACACACCAAGAAATGAGTGAGCTACACTTGGACGAGCATCAGCTGAATGTTACCAAGGCTTACTATTTAATTAGTATCTTCACATCAGCTACTTAAATTGTTGCACCTTTCTTCGGTCTATGTGCTAACAGGAAAAGAAATGGTAATCTGTGACAGATAGCAGATGCCTTCCAGTGAACTCAAGGTACAGATCTGCCAAGTCAGCAGATGCCATTCTTAGAGCTGTTTTTCAGTGGGAAAACACACATGTATTTGCTCCTAAAATAAGACAGTAACATTATAGATGATTTTCTGTTTTTTCAAAGCCTCTTGGAATCCCATCTTAATTTATAATGCACATTTTCCAAGCTTTCCATTTATTTTTATGACAACAAAATTCTCTCTCTTCTTTACTAAGGCTGTAATACCTACTAGGTACTATTGTTTTCCTACCACTCAACAAACATGTATTTTTACAAGCCATAAACCCCACATAAATCGGTGACATGCACTATGGAGCTGGTGCAATGAATTGCATGCAGTATCAGGTAGTAAAGTCGTTTCTGTTACCTCTTTTTGCCCTACTGGAGGTGGTGGCTCAGCCTTCAACTGCTTATCCACGTGCAACTCACTTAACTCTTCACAAATCTCAGAGTTCTGACTCCGGACGCCTGGGCTTTGGCATCGCTGCCCCCTCAGCTGCAGCTGTTTTTCCTGCTGGAAATAATCCTAGATGGGTTTATTTTCTTTTTCTTTGATAGCATGCTTATTTCTTAAGGAGAACTCCCCAGCTAGAAGAGAAAATAGCCGGGGCTATACTTGTCAGGGGATGACATCTAAAGAAAAACGGCAAGGAACAAGATAACACAAGCTTATTCTGTAACTTTTGAGCTTTAGCAACTGGATATGTCAAGATATCTGGCTGTAGAAAATGGAAATACAAATAGGCCAACTTTTTTTGAGCTATTGTTGCCGTGACAGAAGGAAATACCCTTGCAATCTCCATTTTGAGTCTGGGTTTGAGACACAGGTTTCCTCTGGTGACTCAAGGTGCACAGAAAAGTGCTTGCAGCTCAGCAGAATAACCGAGGGGTGTACTCTGAAGTCACGGCGATACTCAGTGTTACAGCTGGAAAAAACCACACCCAGAGGAGACAAGATACATACTGAAGGGGAGGCAAACGCAAAGTTCACAAGAGGAGATAAAAGGTATTTGCAAGTAGATATGGAAAAACTGCAGGTAGACACATAAAAGTATGCGGCTCCTATTCAGCAAAACACTTAAGACTACTTTGCACCCACTGATGCCGAAGGGACTTAACCACAGGTTGAAAGGAGAGCACATCCTTAAGTACTTCAGTAGAAAGGGATGGACTCTGGAATCAGAGCAGTAATTCTTTTTCTACAAACACGCCTGTCTGACTAGACCCAGTGCTTGCTAGTACGAGTGATGCCATTAAATCCAGCCACTTCTTCCTGGGGTGATGATTATTGCTGCTGAGCTCTCTAGAAGTACTCCCAGGACTAATGGCAGGGAAGAGTGTGTTTGCAGGGTTGATCCCCACATCTGGAGGCCCAGGTTCTCTGTTGGTATAAATCAGTGTGGCTTTATTGATTCCCCTAAGACAGGGAGTTCTCTGAAAACTCCATAGCTCATCACAGCACTACCATCGTTCATGCCATTACTAATGCTTCTACTAAAATATTAATAAAACTCTAGCCGGTTTCAAAGGGTTGTGCTGAATTGCTTGCAGAAGGACTTCCATGCTGAGAAAAAATTACAAGCATAACAGGATTTCAACAGTAATTGTTTAAACCTATTTATCTTTCACTTGTCCACCTTTTTTTTTTCCTTGGCTTGACTGGCATTTGACATTATTCATGTATTAAACGAGTTTCCCTTCCCCAGGGAGCCGCAGCCTACCTGCCTCAGTTCTAAAGCCACATCACCACAGGAAGCCCCTCAAGAGGTACCAGGAGCAGAAAAACACTTTATTCCAAATATAACTATCTGAAAGAACAGATGACACAAAGGAAGCAGTTGGTTAAGCAAATTGCTCTCCGTATAAATACTTTCAGACTGTCAGGTTTGTACCAGTCCTTTCAAATGTCGTTCTGTGTTTCTAGCAAATTAATTTAAAATCAAATTACTTGTTTCCTGCTTAAGAGGACATGTGGTCTAAAATATATTCTGACTTTAATAAATTAAATTATGCATGGCCAAGCCTGTACCCTCTGCACAAGAACGTATTACATACAATTTCTAGGCACAGTTTAGCGCTGAACTTCACAGCCCAGAGATTGCTCCATAATCATCGAGTTACAGTTCTGTCCCTGTCAAAAAGTAACACTTTTTAAGGTGCGTCTTTGGAAATAGTGTAATATTCAGGGGAGAAGCTAACGTGGAAGGCACAGTATGCACAAGTAAAGCACTCAGGTTTTTTTGTTTAATGCAATGTGCATACAACTTAGTACCAAGTAATCTTAACGGCATGATATTGGTTATAGCACTAAAACAACAGGAACAATTGTCTCATGTTAAAAGTGCAATGCAATCTGAGGTGACATCTCAAGTTCATTTACGGAGAGAGGTTGCATGCTCAGATTCATTAGAAACGTCTCAGTGTATGAGAACAGACTGTGTAACTCACTTGAGCTGACGAATACTCAAGTTGTTAAGCAAATTATTGCACTAAGCTAGAGTCAAATGCCAAACTTACACCAATTCTCTATTTACTAACCCCTCTGAGTGGTACCAAGACTTAGTAACGCTTTCCTAGAGACTAAACTCCAGGAAACGTGGACCCAGCTACTTCCCAGAAATCACACATGTACCAAGTATCCGATGAGATAATATTAATTAAAACTGATGAAATATATCCTGGAAAATTATCCAATGGGGACAACATGCACATGTGCTCGGACAATGGTTTGGTTCATCATCATGTGTTGTCAGACTTGTCCTGCAAATTTATAAGGTGGGAGAAAACCTTGAAGAGAAACAGACTCTTCTAAGGAATCTGGTTGTACAAACAGATCCCCAAAGGAGTGTCAGGGAATCAACCAAGCTTTTTGCAAGCAACTGCTGCCAGCCCTGGTAAACCGCTCTCATGAGATGCGACAGTCTCATTTCCAGCACACAGCACCTGAAGATCAGCACGGGCCTGTCTGGGGAAAGGTGCCTTTGGTTTATGTTGTTTAACTTCGGACTGTTTGCTTTTGTTCTGATTCCAGATGATTTGGTCTTCCGTCAGCGACAGCAGCCGGTTTATCTCCTGTAAAGCTCCCCACCGTGGGTGGTTTATATAATTTGTTTTTAATTTTTGTATCAAGTGCCATGTTGCCAAAGCAATACACATTATGTTAATATTTATTGATTCAGTTGTTTTCATAATTTATAAAGTAAAACCATTCAGCAGTATAAAAACTCTGTGCATGCAAATGGAGCGTTGGGAGCCCAGGACAGACCTCAGCTCCTTTAGAGCAGAAACCAAAAGTTTGCTCACGTCTGCTCTGATCTGGGGGCTAAAAAGAGGTGACCTTCCAACACCGTACCAGTAATTAGCACATGGAGGAGGATGGACCCAGCCTTGTCCCCTTGCATGCTGTAGGTCAGTTGTAGCACCAGAAAAACAGCAACCAGATTGAAAATAGAGCATAATCTGGGTGACATCTCAAGTGTGTTTGTGCACGGACCCACATACTTGTTTGCTGACACAAATAAATACAAAGGCTCCACACTGCATTCTGCCTCTGAAAAGCACGGATCGGCTAATTGTTTCAGGCTCAAATGGGGATTAGTGCAAATGCCGCTCCTTTGGAAAGAGGACTTGCTGTTGGCAAAACAAGACAAATACCTGTCATCAGCACGGATTCACTTTATTCCTTCCCCACGGAAATATCATTTTTTCCATCCTGTACAAACAAATTCAGAAAGAAGATCCCAGGACCCGCCTTTCAAATGGTGATCAGCTCAAAGGGGTTCTCCTGATGCTTCACTCACTCCCTAGATCATGACCCTGGATTGTAACATTTGTTCCCTGATTCCCTGGCTGCGGCTGTTGTGGGAAAGAAGACGTGCAAAGCCTTTGATAGCAGGAAGCTTCCTCTCCCAAGCAGGTGGGGAGGCAAGAAATGGGAATTGGCTCTGGAGCCCTCCCCGCTTGCAACAGTCGCTGCAGAGCCAGGGAGCAAGGATGAAGGATGAGGCAGGACAAAGTTGGTTTAAGTTATTTTATGAGGTGTACAGGATATCCCCTGTCTCTGGTGGGACAGTGCAAGTGCAAACTGCCCTTTGCTCAGTCCATGGTGCAATGGGAATCTTCAGCCCGATGTATCTTCTCTGCTGCCCACCAGGCTCATGCATCCCTCTGCCTCTTTGAAGACCAATTTTGAGACACTAATAGGATTTCATGGATGTCCGGGTTCTGCCATCACTTTCCAGGAATTAGATGGTCAGGACATTTCCAGGTGCAGAGTCAGAGAGGTGGAGGCTTGTCCTGGTCCCCCCACATACAAGTCTGCACACACTTGTCCATACAGGTGGGGCCTTGCTTTACTGTGGGACACTGCCCATCAGAGGAAGCATCAGCAGCAGACAAGGATGCTGGCAACAGAAATATCGCTGCTTCAGCCATTCGCGGAGAACTGACACCATGAAATTGAGCCTCCTCAAGAAATCCAGCTCAACAGAGCAGCAATTAGTAATTTAATGGATGACAACATATTTTAACCTGCACAGCTTCCTATAGCCAGTTTTTGGAGAGCATAATAGGAGCCTGAGGAGCTGTTCCTGTATAGCAAACCCATTTCAGCAGTGTGCCACACGCAGTTACAAGGGGACTGTTTACTCTGTACAGTAATTGTTGATGTTTGTGTTCCTCCTTGCAGACAGCGATGGATTTCATAAAATTACTGTGCCTGGTAGCAACTGGCATCCTTTCTCAGCAACAGTTTGCGTCTAGTAACTGGCAACCTTTCTCTGCAGAGGAGCCAAGAAGTAAAGGATGGCGAAAACGGAACTGTTGATACCCTACCTCTACATAAGAGGAGAAGCAAGCAGATTGCAATGCTGCTGAAAGACGGCGAGCTTGCATTACTGCCTGGGTGGCACCTCTTCCATGTGTAAAGTAAACAGGAGACTGCAGTCTGCAGAGCTGTCAGGCTGACAACTCTAAGATATGCTGAATCCAGTCTTTCTGAAAAGCCTTGAAAAATCTGAGCTAAAATGGGAGAGAAATAAATAAACCAGGGAAATGAATCGTGGGTTCTTATTACCAGAACAGGTCGTTTATGATCTTGGTTCTCCTCTTCCACAAATAAATGTAAATCCTTGTAGCACCAATAAAATCGGTGGATTTATCTTTCTGCACGTTTAGCATGAGAAGAAAAAATCACCAAATACATCAGGAAAATCCCCTTGCTCACAAGAAGGGGAAGATGAATATAACTTATTCTGCTAGGAATAAAAGAGGGCTGGTGTGCAGCTGCCAACTTAAGCGTGCACATTTGAGAATCTCTCTTTTACTGTGGTTTGAAGAAATTGCTTCTGTAAAGCAGAGTTGCTACTACTCAGTTTAACGAGAAATCAGAGGAAAACCTGGAGTGATACCACACCACAGCATTGGGACTGTAGCTAAGACACAGAGACAACTCATGCTACTCCATATTCCTTTACAAGTGCAGTTTATTCCCAGTGTTTGCAATACTGATGT